CCCTATACCCTTGAACTCATCATGATGCTTGAACTCATGAGGGCGCTATGTGGTTTTAAGGCATATTTTCCCCAATCAAGGGGTATCGGACTCCTTGGGCTCTGAGCGGCACATGCCACTTAACGACTCCAACGCACGTATCGCTTTGCAGACATGCAGCAAAAGAGGCTGACGGGTTGCCGATGCCATTCTCTGGGCAGGATAGTTCAAAGGTACCCAGTACCCGGATCAAGAAACATACCTCAAGTGCGACAGGCGTTGTGACGGGTCGAGGGTTCAGGGAGGCTTTAAAAAGGGGTTTCAGGTGTTGGGTTGTCTACGGGTTGGAGTGTATTTGGGACATGGACGGATACATCTTGCATTGCTGGAGGCAGCCTTGGGTCTCTTTTCAACAATACACTACAAAAGATCGCGCTCTCAACATATGGTCAGCTCTCTAGAACTCCTGTCCCATTGCAGATGGGGATGAATGAGCTGTCTTCCCTAATCATGGCGGATTGGGCTTTTTACGAGGGGAGAACCCTAAACCCGAACCCTAAACCCTGAACCCTAAACCATGCAAGAAAGCCTCAGTGTACAAGCAAAATCTGGGTCCGTAAGCTCTGGGTCACCCTTGTCTCATAACTCGCCAAGTTTGTTATACTTAGTAGCTGAATGAGTACACTTTACACTTTTTGGGGGGGCTTGTGAACTCAGCAACTAAGTATGCGAAGGCTAGGCTCGCTGCTGGATTGTGCGAGAGTCGCTGGTGGTCGAACGAGCATCCGCAAAGTTGAGGCTAAGCTGGACCCTGGGTTTAGGGTTTAGGGTTTAGGGTTTAGGGCCACAGCGCTTGCTGGGTTTGGGGCCTATAGGGTGTATGACTCCCAAGGGGAGGCTTTCAATGTCGTATGGTGTTTGACCTACATCACTAAAGCCTAGATCACTTGCAGGTGGCACAGGTTAATGTGACTCTGGCCAACTACCGACGTGCAGGTGCCCAAGTTCTAGGCCCCAAGCTGCCCAAAGGGTTTAGCGGTTTAACCGAATTCTTGCCAAAACAGCGAGATGGCGACAGCCTGTGCCGATGTGCCGAAGCATACTCATGGCCGATATGTCCACCCGCACTAAATCTTAAATCCTTCTCCACTCACCCCTACAGTGAACCCCAAATCCCGGAAGCAGCGGCAAGGAGTGTAGTTGCTGGTTCGGGCTCTCCGATGAGCACAGTATCCGCCGAAGCCATTTGGGCTCTCATCTAAAATTAGGCTCAGCGAGGAAGGAGCAAGTCCAAAGCATGCCAGAGGCAGGGCTCTAAAGGGGCTTGAGGGTCAGGCTTTGGGGCTGAGGGTTTTCCTAAGCCCTACGCCCTCAACTCCCTGGAGCGTATAAATGGGCATCCTTTTTCCGAGGTTTCTGTGGAAGCCCCATACATATTTAAGTTCCCCTAGGCCCTAAACCCCGCACCCTGAGCCCTAAACCTGGACTAATTAGAGCCCTTCAAGAGCTCAGGGCCTCGGGTTTTTTGACTCAGGGGCCCAAGTCCACAGCATGCCAGAGGCAGGGCTCTAAAGGTTTTAGGGCTTAGGGTTTTAGGGTTTAGGGTTTACGGTTTAGGGTTTAGGGTTTAGGATTGCCTTGAGGGTCAGGCTTTGGGGCTGAGAGTTTTCCTAAGCCCTACACCCTCAACTCCCTCAAGCACAACGGGCATCCTTTTTTCCGAGGTTTCTGGGGAACCCCCATACATATTCAAGTTCCCCTAGGCCCGAAACCCTGCACCCTAAGCCCTAAACCCGGAGTCTAAACACAGCATTCGACCCTGGACTCCTTCAAGGGCTCAGGGCCTCGAATTCTTTGACTTCAGGGGTCCTAAACCCTAGAGCCCTTCCGGTGTTGGCAGGTTGTGACCAGCTGGGCGCGCAAGGCCCCGGGCAAGACATGTTGGGCTTTTCGGTTTGAGGTGCAGGGGGACAGCCTTCCCACATGGCCCATGGAGCTTGGAAGAGTTTAGGGTTGATGAGGATTCAGGGTTTAGGGTTCATGAGGGTTGTAAGGTTCAATGTCGGAAGTGTTTGCCGTTTAGCCTTCGTAGAGGAGTTTAGGGCTTGAGGGTTTTGTGGCGTGTCATTCTTTTCATGGGTTGCTAGAGCCATTTATAGGATGTGGTTTGGGGTTGTTTATGTTGGAGAAAGTCCGTGCTCTAAATATGTCAGTCCTTTTACCCTTTGTGGGCAGGGTGCCGGGAAAGAGGGAGCGGATTCAGGGAAGTGACCAGGAAGCGTTTGCTGGAGAAGAGTTCTCTTCCGTCGTCAAGCTCTTTTATCCGCAATCCCTGGACTCTAGATCCGAAACCCCAAAACCATCTAAAGCTCGAACTCCTAGAGACCCTAAACCTTAAACTAAGCCCCAACCGTTGCATCCTTGAAGCCCTACACTTGACATCCTCGGGCACCATGCTGCACCGCAAACTCCTACAGACAGAAAACCCTGAACCCAAAATCTGGGATGTTCCCCTTTTACTAGCAGCTCCTTAATAGGGATTGTAGTACCCCCTATATTTAGTAGAGAGGGGGAACATCCCAGCCCCAAAACGCTAACCTCGACTCTTCAGATCCGGGTGACATTCCGCCAGGATGGCCTCGCCAGTGTCAGCGTGTCAGACCGACCTGAGCTGCTTGGCCTTAGGGCTTGGGGATTGGGCTTTAGGCCCTACATAAGGTTCAGGCGGTTTAGCATTGAAGCGTTCCGCAAGTGCTCCCTGAGAGCAGGAAAAAGTGCTTATTGAAGACATACTTTGCAGGTGTCAGGGAGCTTCGCCACCCAAAATAGTCTCAGGTCTCGAAGCCCCTACACTTCCTAAACCCTGAAAAGCTACTCCGCGGAGACGCAGGAAGCTCCCGCCATGCACGCCGCCGGAACCTGCTTCTTGGCAGAGTTTCTAACACCCGAGCCTCAGGAGTTTAGGGCCCAGCCCACAGTTGAACTTAGAACTTTTTTCGGGGCTCGCTTCCGAATACGATGAACCTTTCATGTCCCTGGCCATTGGCAAAGTGCAAGAGGAGTGGCCTGAACCGAATGCCGCAAGCCCGACAGCAAGTCTCCAAATCAGGGGTAAAGGATCTCCCCCCATTGAGTACCCTTAGGTCTTTAGGGGTGTTGGTTCTTTCCTCCTTTTGAAAAATTTGTTGGGTAGGGTGCCCCCTGGGAATAAAGGGGTTGAAGGTGTGGTGGATGGCACTAGGAAACAGCTCTAGCTTGTTGCGTTTTGTATGCTTAAGGTACCATAAACTATGTTCTTAAAGGAGGGCTCGAAGAACAGTTGAGTTTAGTTTAGAAATGTCTCCCTATACAGAACCCCTGAGCCTAAACCCCAAAAAACTCTAAGGCCATGACGACACCTCACACGCACGAAAGTGCCTGCTTGTTCTCTTAATTTTGCGCCATTTCACCCCACATTCATTGGTGAGGGGTTAGGGTTTAGGGCTACGGCGGAGCCTTAGAACCCTTAACCCCTAAAACCCCCAGAAAGCTCTAAACCGGTAAAGAGGGGGCCAGAGCAGGCTGCAAGTCGGGTCAATTGTGCAAAATGCTGTGTTTTGTAATTGAGGTAGGCCCGTTGGGATACTTCATGATTTTCCCTTATTGGGTTTGAGAGGATAATAGTCAGGAATGCTTTTTAGAGGGTGTTTAAGGGGCCAACCAAGTAAATGGCAAGGACGGATCTTATCCTTCGCATGGGGCGCTTTGGACATCTTGGCCTTCTAGACCCTGAATTAGAGAGGAAAGCTTACATGGGCACAATCAGGCAGGGTTCGGGATTGGCTCCTCCCTCCCCTCTGCGGCACCAATCGAAGGGCCATCCGGTCCCCTCAACCCTATGAACCCCAAAGTCCACAGGCTAAACCCTACCCTAGGTAGACCCTTACCACATTTAATATTTTCTCTTACTGGGTTCAAAGAGGGTCATATTCAGGAGTCTTTTTCAGGGGGTTTCAAGGGCCATCCTAGTTCCCCATCCCACACTAAGGACAACTTCGCTGTCTTGGGCAGAAGCATCCAGCAGTCTCTCCGCGCCAGCACAGCGGAGGATTGGGCCTGTTGAGCAACTTAGGGCCCGTCTCGTTAGGGTTTAGAGTTTAGGGTTTAGGGTCTTTGCGTTGGAGTTTAGGGTGCAGGGCTTAGGGCTCGGAAGTAGCTGATCCCCGGAGCCGCATCGTCCACCTCCCGCCACAATTGAAGCACAATCTGCGTCCAGTAGTCTAGGCAGTCCTGTGTCGAAACCTATCCCTCTTCAGATGCAGAGACGGAAATCTGGCAGAAAGCTGCTTAAGGCAGAAGCTTTCGGTGCTTAAGCCTTAAGCCACGCCTCTGCAAAGAAAGCAATCTGGTAGACAGCGGCTCCGGAACGGCGTTCTGTTCTTCTGCAGGTGTCGTCATGAAAACCCAAATGCAAAGTTGAGCTTAACAGGCTTAACACATTTGACGTCACGCCAGGCGCCCCCCAAACCTAGACCCCTCTCTTCAGGGCAGCCCTTGGTTTCCAAGCCCTTGCTTTCCATTCGCTGCTATGGCTTCAAGTCCCATAAACCCAGCTGTGCAACCCAAGAGCCAGCAAGATGTTCCGGCGTTCCCATTCCGGCCTCCGGGGTGGGACATGGCCCTCCGCCTTCAAGGATACCCAACCCTTCGGCTGTTGGGAACTTGTTGCCTCCACTCAACAGAACTTGTGAACCCGCGGGCAAGGGCTCTGCTCATGAGAAAGCTCGACTCCGACTCGGTTGGTTGTCACCAAAACAGGCGCAAAATGAGTTTGAGCTTAAAAATTGTTCGCTTCAAGCCAGGCCTCCCCTCAATCTTCAGCCTTTTCACCTCAGGTCTTGGAGAACCGCCGCCCACCCCGACATCCCACATCCCCTGTCAACCTCCATCCCCCCTCCGACTGTTGGTTGCGGCCCCTGCCCACATGATTCTCCTTACTGAATCAAACGTGGTGGGGTCGGGGGTGGGGGTTCGCACAGGAGATGGTGCACATCCTCCACAAAGGGCCAGCGCAAGCCAGCGTTCTCATTCAGGCCTGTTTCCCATAAACAGAGGCTTGTCTCAAGGATCAAAACGAACTTCGACATTCATGGAGCCCATCATCTAGCGGCTGGATTGTTGACGTTGTTTGGGTGTAGTAAAGGAGTTCAGCTGCACGTCCTAGAAGCCATGCAAGACACTAGCGTGTCTGTGGACTAATTATGCTATATAATCAAGGCGGTTCAGAGTGAGGGGTCCAGGCTGCACGAGCTACAATTTCTCGAAATGCGGGCAGGTCATCTTCGACCACACGAAGTACAACGGGCAAGATCTGCTGAAAGCGCTGGCGGTCAACTACGATGCAGCGGGGACAGCAATGCGTTGTTGTTGTGACGCTTGTGGTTGTGGTGTTGGTGGTGTTGATGGTAGTGTTGACAGCATTCGTAACATGTGCAACAAAGCAAAGAGCAGCCGGACGGACGTGCATCATGTCAACAGCGCCACCTTTCTTTCTTTTACTTCACCTCTGCTTGAGCCTTCACCCTAATGTGCCGAATAAGGCCTGAATCCTCATACTGCACACCCCGGGACCCTAAACCTAAACCGCAGAACCTGTAAGTTTTAAACCCTAAACCCTTAAACCCTAAACTCCCGAAACCCTAAACCCTAAACCCTAAACCCATCTAAACCCTAAACCCTAGACCCAACCAAAGGCCTGGGAGGAGTTGGCACTCTGCTCGGAGGAGAACGAGGTCGCCGGCAAGATGCTGCAAGTGAACGAGCGCTTCAAAGCGGTTTAGGGGATGTTGGGGATATAGGGGCAGGGTTTAGAGTTTAGCGGCTTTGGGGGCTGAATCTACGCGACTTCTTGTTGATTGTCTTGGGGCATGCTTTTTTTGTGCATGGAGCTAAGATTATTTATGTCTAGCCAACTGTCGGTAGCTACAGGCTCTTGCTTCAAGAGCCCAGAGAAACCTCGCTGACGCTACATAATGTCGGCTAAAGGGAGCTGCAGCTTGCCAGAACGAAGGTATATCAGCTTGCGGAGGATCTTGCCCTACCTGGATCAAGGAATTTCCAATCTCACGCCAGATGTTGAGCTCTCCGAAGCTCTCCATGCGCAGATCTTCGAAAGCCCGGCTGCAGAGGTTCCCATGCGTGAGCTTTACAGAGAGATTGCCCAGCTCTTTCGCAGCACTTTCGTCATCTACATCGACTTGAGCCACCTGTTCGGAGAGCCTTGCATGCTGCGCTATGCCATCCGACCCGAGCGGGACTTCGATGCACAGTGGGACGAGATCCGAGCTTTGAAGAGCAACGCGCAAGGGGCTGTGGTGCACCAGTGGCATCTGCATCTTGACCCGAAAGAGCGATGGGCCACGTGCCTGCAGTCGCCGTCCTCGGCATACCTGCACCTAGGATCCCCAGTACCCTTTTTTGTCCTTCCTGTAATGGCAGGTTTTTTTTTGGATTGCAAACACACCCAAAACACAAACGGGGGAAGGAACGGGGGGCTCCCCTTTTGTTCCCAGGAGTTTTTTAAAACCGAGGCCCCTCTACGGAACTCAGAAGCCCGACCTGGGCTCGACGGAAATCACCGGGATCGCCGTGACGAAGTCACAGGAGTCCTCCCGTTGGCTTCTCTGCAGGCCTTTGGGAGATTTTATACCTACCCTTATTGGGATTGACCATGATTCGTGAATATATTCATTCAGAAAGTACCCAAGAATCCTAAACCTTAAGCTCTGAATCACTGAACTCTGAAACCTGAAACGGGCCAACCCAGGTTTTGGTCCTTGGTGTCCAGCGCAACGTCGTCTCCCAGTGACGAGGGCTTTCCCCGTCGGCTGGCCAGCTTCAAGGAGCAGTTCTATGGCTTTTAGGGTTTAGGGTTTAGGGCTGGGCCTTCAGGTGTCAGGGTTTTAGGGCCCTAAACCCTTCACCGTAAACCCTAAACCGTAAACCCGGGCTCTGACTTGGAGGAAGCCTTCAGCATGGAGCCCAGCAGCATCCGGATCGAGGCAGGCTCACGCACATGGGGTTAGGGTTTAGGGTTTGGTGTTTAGGGTTTAGGGCTCAGGGTTGAGGGTTTAGGGTTAAGGGTTTAGGGTTAGAGGCTTTGGTTCTGTCAGGGCCTTGAAAGGTACATATGGGGTTTAGGGTTTAGGGTTACAAGGGACCCAAGACAGGGGCCGTCTCTTTGAGAGCTGACCACATTTGGCGACCGCATCTATCTGGTGACCAAGACTTGCCATTTTCCAGGTGCAGGTTCAAACTTGCAAAGGGCTTAACAAGGATCTGGAATCGGGCGGGGGTGTGGAATTGACCTTCTCCGCGGATTCCTGTATTGTCTTCTTGTTTCTTGATGTGAATGGAATTCCTTAACAAAGGTTGTTTGGCTACGTACCCGAAACCCCAAAACAGCAGAAGATGAGAATTACAGGGCCCTTCTTTTGGGGGATTGGG